TTAGCTGTGTGGGATGTCTACTTGTTCAAGTTAGCATCCACTTTCATTGACATTACTAATTTTTGTCACTTTCTAAGGGGCGTCCACCATTTGTTTACATTATAACAGTCTTAAAAGTATGGTGGAAGTGCAATATTTTTGGTTATTATCTTTTATTCTCTGCCAAAAACTAAGAAACGTTATATGATGTTTTTATGGAAACAAACAGCAAGAAACCAATCCCATACAAAAACCATATTTTCAGAAGATTAACATGATTTTTTGTAACTTAATTCCATAAGCAAATATTAACACATGATCAAAGTCTCACCATTCTGAAAACTTGTACATTGCCACAGCTGCATGCCAAATATATGTTCTATATTGCTGAAAAGCCATTATATACAAAAAAAAAAAAACACGAAAGAATGTTGATTGTTGATCTTTGTCCAATTTTGCCGAATGTTAACAATTGTCGCTCAGACATGCATTCTTGGGTCAATTTCTTTCAAACTTGTGAGATACCGATGCTCATCATTTTGTTTTATGATACAAAGAGAAGACGTACATTTTGTTATCTGGACCATAAAACCATTATTTTAACCTGTCAATGCCTGTTTGTTGAATGTTCCTGGTTTTGTCTCTTTGGGGCATCGTGGCACAGTGACCCACTACTATGTAATTTAAAAAAAATAGAAATGAATTACTCTCAGTCCCAAAGCTACTTTATTTTCCTATGAAAAGGCAGAGTCTTGAAAGAAGTACATGTATATACAATGTATGCATACATGTATCATTGTTAGCAATTCAGACTAGACAGTGACTCATTTGTTTCTGTAACAAATAATCCAAAGCTATCTATTGGGTTCAGTATACCAATTAGTATAATCTTATCCTGGGTCAAGCAAGAGGTGTTTTGAAAGTGTAAATAGCAGCATTCTGTACCTGGACAATATTTCAATGCTTTTACTCAAAAGGACTTTTACAAATCTAAGAAATAAAAAACAAAGTCAAAATTACTTGTAGCTTGTTTAAGCCTTTCTTCATTTGTTAATTTTCAGGATGTGAATCCAAACGAAGAATTATTATGTTGGTATAATATCCCAGCAGAAAATGCAGAGTGGGAAGATGAAAGTAATTTAAATGGATCAGAAAAATCCCCAGTTGCAGTCACAGAGACTATAGCACACAAAGTCCCAAAGAAACGTGGAAGGCCCCCCAAAAGGAAAAGATCATTCATAGCTAAGAGCAGTATTACAGTAAAAACTGATGAACTTGGTGGAACTGGAGAATCAAAGGCTTCAATGAATATTGGATACAATGATTTAGGCATGGAAGCAGATAACAAAGAAGAACATTATGCAGTTGAAGGAACCAATACACCCCTTGCAAATTCATTATGCACAATTGAAAATTCATCAGTAACACAAAGTGCTCGTGGGATAAACATGAAAGTGAACAAGAAGACAGCTCCACACAGAAAATGGAAACGAGCCAGGGGCAGCATAGTAAGGAGAACAAGAAGTCGATCAGCATCTTTGGAGGAATGGTTTGATGAGGAAAGACTGGATTTGTTACAAAAAAAGAGGAGATCTTTAAACAACATCCGGCTTATGAAAAAAAAGAAACAAATGCAGAAACAATTAGAAAATAAGGATATTCTAAAAGATGATTTTGAAAAGGGTTTAAAGAATCATGAGAGTTTGGCAGATGGTCAAAGGTTTGAAAAGGAAGATGATCATTCAAGCTTGTATAGTGGAATGACAGAAGAAAATTGGGAGATGACTGATGAAGAAATTAGTGCAGATGTTGGTGTCCAACTTTGGGAAAAATGTAGCAATGGTGGTGAGGCAGAATATACTTCTGGTAGTGATGGTGGAAAGGAGGCAGTAGCTCCCTGGGACTTATCAGTATTAACATTTCCACTCCAAGACAAAGAGCAGCAAGTTGATGAGAGTGCTGCTGCCACAGTTAGAAAGACTAGTGACAGTATTGAGGACTGTGGGCCTGATGACGGGAGAATAATAGCAAAAGATTTGCCACCATCGACAGCAAATTTCCCACTTACTGCAAAAGAAACTACTATGCAGTTAAATTCAAATATCGAGAATGAATCCACAGGAGCTAGTAATGAAAATGTACGTCAAGTGGTAGAAGATAAACTGTTGCTGAATTCCGTCCTCACAGATGGATTAAAGAATCCCAAGTTCCTAGCAGGAGATGAAGACATGCAGGTTGAAAGTGTGAAACAAAGTATTGATAATGGTGCCACAGAGACTGTAGATTGTAGAGTTAAACAAAAAGTAAATTCAACATTGGCATCAGTTGATACTCATTTTGAGATAGTGAAAGGTAATACAGAGATGACTGCAAAAAATAAGGTCACAGAAACAGTATGTTGTCAAAATGGTGATGTGATGGATTCAACACTTGCAGTTGGAACTGAAACTATTGCAGCTAGAGAGCTAACACATGAAGTAGAGGAACAAAGCAACCAAAACGATGACACAAAGATTGCTGGTGTAAGGCCATTAATTATGGATAATCATGCTTCCCTTGTAGTTGCTGAACATAATGGAACTGAGGAGATGATGGAAGAAAACCTAGAGGAACAAAGTCACCAACCTGATGATGCAAAGGCTGCTGGTCATAATGATGTTAGCCCATTAATAGACGATGAACAAAAGTTGAATTTGAGACTTGTACATGCTGAACGAAATGGGAACATTGAAACTGTAGAGATGATAGCAGAAAAAGTAGGACATTGTACTCGTACTGATGACGCAAAGACCGGTGATAATGATGGTGCAACACCATTAGTTAGCAATGAAAGGGCAGTTGTAAATGCAGATATGGTATTGGGAGATGCAAAAAGCACTGGAGATTTGTTAATAGAAAAATCACATAAACAAAAAATCCCAAACCATGGCATGATGAATGTTGGTGAACTTGATGCTAGAAAGTTAGCTTGTGGTGAACCCGAACCAGCAGCCATGGATATAAATACAGATGTACTGGCATGCGATGAACACACGATGGTTGCAGAGAAATCAGACACAATTTTGGAGCCAACAAGTGTCTTGAACATTCATGTTGCAGATAATATTGCTCAAGATGTTGCAAGCTCAGTTGGACCAGTTGTGAATTTAGAGTTTGAGAAAAAACATGCACATGAGGCAGTCCAATCTGATGGAAATGTGAAAGACACAGTAGAAAAAAAAGTCGCTGCTGCTGCTGCCGGCCGGGAGAGGTTTTGTGATGAGGAAGAAGATTTTTCTGTAAATAAGGACCCGTGTGTTAATGCCATTTATGGAGATGACAAGGTAGAAACTGATGGGTTGCCTGATTTGGATAGAAGTTTTCAAACTGATGATAGTGATGGTAAGATTCAAATTCAGTATTTTCTCTATGACAAGTGAATCTTCATTATAGATACATAGTTGATTTGGTTGATTTACATTGAGAGCACCTTTAATAGAGCAAATGCACTGCTTACAATTGTGATAATGGTTTTGAAATGTTATTATGCTAGAAGATACTTGTATACCCGATTATTTTACAACATTGCATAATATTTTTTTTCTATATGCAAGACAAATATAAAAATGTTAATTTCATTGCCAACTAACTTTAATAGCTGTTACACAATAAATGTATAAATGGATTTAAATGAAAATATTGTAACTATATGCTGAAAGCATGGATAAAGACAAATATAGTAGTGCATACCAATGTTTGTCTAAGGGATGATATGGAAGCCAATATCTGGTGGAAGGTTGTTATAGTAGCATGCTTAGTAACTTGCAGAATGTATGTATCATACCATGTTGCTAACTTAAATATTCTTTCAATCACTGTCTTTTGTATTAACTTCTATGTTTAACTGTTCTGATGTATTGTATGATCTTTATATCATTTCAGCTCATGTTGCAGAGGATTTAAGAATGCCTGTTTTGGAAAGAGTTGCAGCAAGTTTTAATATTCAGTTACCTTCTCGCCAAACCATGGCCGACACCTGCCGTACCAAGAAAATGAACTCTGTGGATGCAATAAAGTCTGGTGCTACAAACGCTATCCAATTTTATAGCAACAATGATATAGACAATGCTGTCAATTTAAATAATAACATTACATCTGAAATGCATGCTAGTGCACATGTACCACACTGTGATAGAGGTGTTGGACAAACCTTTATTGAAGATAGTTTGCTAGATGGCAAATATACTGCTAAGCTAATGAAAAGGTCAGAAGAAGCTGAATGTACAGTTGTAGATGGCAAACACATCAAGGCTTTGGAAGGAGTAAACCTACTGAATAAACAGATACGCGATGCAACCCCCAATGCAGACACAGTGAACCATGAACAATTCATAGATGTAGTTCCCTGTGAAGCTGTACCAACCATGTGTGATGCAGTTGACCTTGCATGTGTAAATGATGTTGAGAATATGGGTGTGACAGAAGGTGCTGTCAATTTGAAAATAACTGACATTAACACCAGTTGCATAAATGATATGCACGAAGCAACAGGTGTAAACGAAACTGCCACCATATTTGAGAATATTGAACCTAGTGTTCTTGGGAATGAAGAAGTGGAAAACTCTCCAAATTGTGATACAGATGAAACACTTTTCTTCATCACTAACAAGAAACAAGATATACAGAAAAATATAATTAGTGAAGACATTGCTAATACTTGCAATTCAGGTAAAAAGACTGAAGTTATATTCAAAAAAGGGTGGTTTGGTCGACAACATATTCCGAAAGTTTATATGCCACTACAGTTGGATGAAAATGGGAAACCCATTATGTATACTGACTTCAGAGGATTCAATATTCAAGAGAAATGGATAAATCAGAAAGTCAGAGGCAAAAGACGAAAAGCTTACTACAAATGCCAACTGTGTCCCATTGCAGTGGAATTTCAGCCTAGTCTGAAAAGACATTATTTCAAATACCATATTGAAGATAAATACAAAACCATTGCGCCTGTGTCTAAGCCTGTGAAGATAGTTCATCAACGAGAAAAAATCAGGACCAGAGGTACTGTCAAAGAAAGAACCACTTCAGTTGTTGATCAAGATATTGTGGATGGTGATAAAGAAGATATTCCAATTCAACCTGAGTGCGAGTTGGAGCCTATTGCTGGCAAACGGAAGTTGAGAAGCGCTATTGATCAAGAAGATGAAACTGAGGATATTGACATGGTGTTTAATGAAGAAGAAGTTGATAATGCAGAAGAAGTCGGTGACCATAAACCACTGTACCCCTGCAAAATATGTGGCCTGCTTCTTAAGTCCCACAGGCATCTAGCAGATCATATGAGTATTCATCCAAATGAAGAAACTATTAATTGTCCAGAATGTCCTCGCCAGTTTCTTTGCAAGCAAGGTTTGGAGAGACATATTCTGACTCACACTGGTGAGAAACCTCATAGCTGTACTTATTGCGGTAAGCGGTTTTCTGCAAGTACAAGCTGTAGAAGACATGAGAAGCTACATTCTGGATTTCGACCTCATCGATGTGAAGAGTGTAAAATCACATTTATTTATGATACTGATCTGCAGAGACATATCCTTAGCACTCATGAACAAAATGGATTAATGGAAAAACCTGTGATTCCCAATGAGAACAAATGTGTTCCAGATGTGATTGAGATTCCATCGAAGGCTCCTGGTGAAGACCATGAATGTCCTCTATGTGGGAAAATATTCTCCAAGTCCAGCAGCTTAAAATGCCATGCCAGTCATGTACACAAAAATTACAGGTTATTGGTGAAAGCTACAAAAGACGTTGTGGAAGATAATGATGCCTACTCTACTCAAGAATATAGAACAGATGATTTCCAGGACAGTGCTGCAGAGAGTGTTGTTCACCATTCCTTTGATGGGAATGAAGTGCTTGAAGAGGATATAGATGTAAACACTTCCACAGACACCCCAATAACTTCACAAGGATCAGTGTCACAGATCAAAATATCAAATGTTCAGCATGTAGAGTCACTTGAGGATGACATGTATGCATCACAAATTCTACATGTAGACAACCCACAGCCAATGGCAGATACTTCTCTCATTGTTCCCAACTTTCCTGTTGCAGTCCAAAGTGTTATGCAGGAACCAACTACTATGGTACACAGCCAGTTTCAACTGCCTTCTGTAATGAATCAAAATGATCAATTCTGTGCTCTCAATACAGTTGAGAGTGAGGATGATCTAATCTTGCAACCTTATGCACAGTCTGACTTCTCTGTTAATCCAGGGAGCGATGCAGGATATTCTGATCATATAGCATCTCCATCTTCAAATGAAAATTCTCTAATCAATGGTGAACAACCAACACCTGCTGATCAAATTGTGAAACCAAATAGCATTAAAATAAGAAATCCACCTAGTGTAGCCACCAGACCACCTTTTCAAGGAAGCCGTGGACCAATAGATTTCAATCCTGCTATGCTGAAAAGAAACCAGAAACAACAGTCTCTTCTCAAGATTCCAGTTTCATGTGCTGAGCAAGTGGAGTTTTCACATCCTACAACACCAATTAGTGATAATACACAGAAACCCTTGAGGCCACCCTCAATACAAGTGACATCACTACAAAGATTTCAAACAGCCACAGCACTAAAACAGCGTTTTACAGAAGCTCAGATTGGTACTTTGAGGCGAACAATGACTTCCAAATCTGCATCTGTTCCTCCCACACCTCTTCTAGTTAATAGAATAGCTCCACAACTGACAATGCATCAACCTACAGTTTCCGCACTCAGAACGCCACAAACAAATTCAACAACACCCTTTGCACATCAATCTGGTACTACAAAAGTGTCACCACAGTCAGTTCACAGAACCCCATCACTTCCACAAGATGTTGCCCAGTCACTACATCCAGTACAGCAGGCAGGCAATTTGAATATGCCTTCTCATTCTATTAGTGGATACGTGCAGACCTCATCAAGAAATTATGCTAATGTAACCAATGTAAAACAGCCTTTCGAAGCAAAACCAGCCAATGAAAAATATGTGACTCTAGAGAATGCAGCAAACAATATGCCAGATATTCAATCAGATATAAGAAATATTCAGCATTTGGTTAACAGTGTACCAACTCTTCCACGTACAGTGCCAACAACTCAATGGCAGTATATTGAAAATGCACAAGATGTGACCTGCAGACCTAAAGAAAGTCAGTTGACTTCCAAACAGCAATTTGTAGCCAACACCCCAACCAACCAGCCCGTATCTAATCAATATATCAGGAACTTCCAACAAATAATGTCAGGATTGCAGCAGAGACAGAGTATGCCGCATCATACACCCACCCAGTCACAGATCAATTCCGCTCCTCAAAAGCACACAGAGATGCCAGCTGGCCAACACTATACAAAAATTGTGTTCACTAACAGTACACAAGCTCCTATCATTCAACAGCATGCATATACAGAAAACTTGCAAGAGCCAAATATTGTAAGGTTCACTCAACCTTATGTGGGCACAGTAAATATACCCAGTTCTAGATATGAACTATCTGTGCAACAACAGAACCTACTTGAGAGAGACCTACAGCAGCCAGTAATGAGGATGCCATTTACTCCACAGGCTCCACAATTCATCGCAAACTCTCCTGTAGGATTGACAGTACGACAAAAACTTCAAGCCAGAGCATCCAACAAACAGCCGGGGGCAAAATTAGCTGCAGCTATACAAAACATACGGGCACATAATCCCCAACTTTCTCGGCCAGCATTGAGTAATGGGCAACAATCCAATGCGCCACTGCAACCCAGTGTGCCAACTTACAAAATTGCACCAGTTTTAACATCCAAGAACCTGGACTCTCTCCCCACTATAACTGGTAGTGACCTATTTGTACCACCAGGTTTACCTCCAGCGCCGATGATGCATGTACCACAACCTTCTGGGGCTAATCTGACATCAGCCCTTCAAAATGTAGTTGTGCCTAAGCCACAAGTAAAAAGACCAGCTTCTGAAATGGATGATGATGGTGCTATTGATTTGACTATAAAACGTGTGAAGTTAGAAAGTCTGACGTTGGGAAAAGTGAACCTACCACACGAACATTTGGTGATAGACTCTGATGCACCGCTTGACTTAACAAAAAATCATGGTGTAGATGCTAAATTCAACAATGAGTTGTTAAATGAGCCAGTTGATTACTCTGTTGAAGTTGATAGCAGTACTGTTTTTAAGTCAGTATTCTCTCCAGCTCCGTCAACTGTGAAGGAACAAAGTCATTCGCTAACTACAACCACAGTACATGACTTATCTCTTCCAAATGTGGAAAGTTCTACCAAAAAATCTGTTCCCTACCATAAGGTACAGCCATTGCAAGGAAGCATATTAACAGCATGCAATGTCTGTAGGATTGTATTCAGTTCTGTCAATGCCTTGAGACAGCATGTGGTAGTACATGCTGATGAATGGAAATACAAATGCGAATACTGCATCCAACTGTTTCAAACTACCAGTGATCTAGCCATGCACAGATATAAGCAACATAGAACTGAGAAGTCATATTTGTGTTCTGCATGTCAAAAGGAATTCTTGCAATTTTCGAAGTTAGAACGTCATCAAGCTGTTATGCACCCTGACACATCTTGTGCCTATATGGAATTGGGACTGGATACAATTAGAAGGCAGAATTTAACAGATCCATCAATGGTTCCTGTAACAACAGCTATCGTAACTGGTGAAGTTGAGACCAGCAAGAAGACATCTGACTTACTGGCACCCTGCCCTGTTCCTATTTCAGATGACACATTCACCAATACATGTACAAAGTGTGGTATAATATTTGATGACATCACTATTTTCCATAAGCACATTCTGCTTTGTGCCGTCAAAATTGATACACAGGCAACAAATGCTGCTCCAGAAAAGAAGAGAAGACTGAGAGGGAGCTGGGGCCAAAAAGTGAAAATACAAGAACTCGTTAAAAAAAGGGGTTTAACAGTTGCTGACAAACTGAAGATTAAAGCACTTAAACATAATTCTGTTCAGTCTAATTTGAAGTATGCCGATTCCAATACAACAAAATGCCAAGGTTGTGCTAGACAGTTTGTAGACTTGGTACATCTTAGAAAACATATGAAAATGTGCCCAAACAGGGATAGGGAAAAAATGGCCAGCTGTCAGAGAACATTAGACAAAATGATGTTTGGGTATGATGAACATGGCAAACAACTAATACAGCAACACAAATGTCCACATTGTCTGCGGCAGTTTACCTACATTGAGAGTCTGAGAAAACACATTGATGTTTGCAACTTCAAAAATAATCCTCATGTGACTGTAAACAGTCATATGAAAGTTGATGAACTGCACGAGAAGCTGGATCCAAGCAGAAAAGCGTATAAGCAACCTGTAGTTGTTGGTGGGCAGCCTGACAATTCTGGGCAACATTCACTTGGAGAGAAACCAATGCGACGGAAGAAAGGTTCAAAACGCAGGAGAAGAATGGGTTTAAGTGTTCATAAAAGAGCGCTGTTTTTGAGGAAAAAGAGATTAGCAGAACAATCCGCTCAAGGACACTGAACGTAATTAGCAATAACGAAAAGACATGAATTTCTTTCAGTGCCTGAAAACATTTGTTTCAAGGCAGTATCGTGCAATTCACGATGAAGGATCTTTTGACAGCTGTCGGGACCCTGTATCTAGAATGTAGTCACATTTCAAAGTATGCACCTTATTTGTGCTTATTTTATAGTAACTCCTGAGTGGATGACACTACTTTTGTGCTTCTGGTGCTTCAGTTTATGTGAAGCCGTGATCATGAAAATTGACTGTAGTTTGCATCATCGCTAAGGGGACGTATTAAAACTTTTCATAACCAAGGGCTTTTATTTTAATTGTTTACAAAAATGCATTATATAAAGTTGTTCGTTTAATAAGTGTTCACTGCCTTCTATTGTGCTCAAACCAAAAAATACTTTCAAAGCGGCATTATCGTTTTTTTCAATATTTAATAAAACTTTATTTTATCCTACACTTTTCTTTGGGGGTGTATGCACGTTTCACCTGACTGAATAGGTGCTACTTGCCATACAATTGATTCCTTTGTGTTTACTTTGTTTTTTTCTTTCAGTAATGTGATTTTTAATTGTGGATGTTAGCAACTAATGTTAAATATATGTACATATTTGATTGTGAAGTTATGATCCGTAAACAAAATATAATTGATTGTTGTGGCAGTGGACATATTTCGGATGCAAAAGTGAACCATTTCTAATATTTTGTTAATTGCATTTTTTTGAAAGTGTAATTTTTTTATAAGCTGTATTTACCTAGTGGCATTATTGGAATGTACCTGTTTTTGGCTGTTTTATTTTAGTAAAACTTCAGTCTCTCAAAAGGATGTTTTTAATTTTTCTTTGCACAGCGCGACTTTTCAAACGTAATTAATGTAAAGCGCTAGTAGTTTTGTTAGTAGTCGTGTTTTTTTGTGTTTAAAATAGTAGCAAAATACTACATCTCTATGATTTGTGCTGACTCTTCTCAAACCGTGCACTCATATCTTTCATATGTGTGCCCATAAATTTAAACAACCTATAATGCGATTTTTATGATTTTATATTTTTTTGTGATGAGTGACCAAATTGCATTTCGTTTTTGATGTCAAACATTGGAAGTACTGTTACAGTTACTCTTGGTGTTACAAGAAGTGTGTTGGAGATTAGTTATGCAATAATCATTGCATAGTAGAATTGTGTACTACTGAAATGCGCATGGCAACATTCCACAAAATGATTCTACAGTCATTGGGGGAATGCAGTAATATTTTTGTTACTGCATTTGTTATTAGAAATTAGTTTTTTATGAACCGTATTATCCTTTCATTGTATACAAGGTGTTTGTTTTCGTCGACGTATTACCCAAGTGTTAACTTGTACTTTTATTGTTACAGTAGTTAGTGTTGAGTAAGAAATTTAGATAACACATTTGTTAAGTGTACCTTTACATATCGTAGAAACATTCATGCACGCACTTATTGTAGATGTTATTTACTGTTGCCAGCTGCGCCTCTGAGCGTTTTATTTTAGGATCGTGCATTGCATTTTTTGGAATATATCTACGTTAAAGGGTTGTATAGGGCAAAACGTTGAAACTAAAATTCAAAATAGTGAGTGTAAGGATAGTTTCTTGCGATTCAATGGACACTGCCGTTGCATGTTCCTTTGCAGGAAATAGTTCTATTATCAGAAATGTGAAACATTTTAATAAGGGCCTTTGTGTATGCACTACGAAACTACATAGACCAACCAACCATCAACAGCAAGCCACAGAAGTATAATTCGTTCTATTCACAATTTAATTATATGCAAATCATCGTACAAAGCTTAACACATATGGATTATATTTTGTTAACAAGATTTATAATATATTATGTATTTTATACTACCATATTTCTATTCTTTATATTTTTAGAGAAATAAAACTTGCTAGAAAAATAA